GTTTCAGATGGTACCGATCTTCTTTGTTCCTGAGTATCCCTCATGGCTGCTGCCCCCTTCCTCCTGGGCAGTCCTTAACTTATATAACCCTTGTTAAAAAGCCTAAGAATCACTGTGTTAGGCAGACACTCGTGGGGCAGATCCTTCCTGGGGCTGGACAGGGTGCGATCTCTGGAGGCCATGCCAGCCTGGCTGCTTTTGGATTCCCATAGTAATCCCTGCCCTCTGCTCTATGCCCCCCTCCTGGGGTCAGGCACTTGCTCCTGGGCAGCCCCTGGCAATGGGGTGGCTGTGTGGGGGTCCCTGGGGTGGCTGATGTTGGGTGGGAGGCACGTGCCATTGCAGCGCAGGTGGGGCCCCCTCAGCATCCAGCCCGGTCCTGTCTCAGGGGTCACTGCCCTCTGGCCTTGCAGGCATCCTTACTCGGGGCGGGAGGTGCCCATCTCCAATGGGTCTGGCTTCGTGGTGTCCCCAGACGGCCTAATCGTAACCAATGCCCACGTGGTGGCCAATCGGCGGCGGGTGCGGGTGAAGCTGGCCAGCGGGGAGCTCTACAATGCCGTAGTCCAGGATGTGGACCCCATGGCTGACATCGCCACCATCAAGATCGAGCCCACGGTGAGTCCAGGAGGCTCGGGCCAAGGATGCCCCCTGGGCACACAGCCTTTACCTCGGCGTGTCTTGGTCCATGGCCCCACTGACCCCCCTTTCTCTCCCAGAGCCCTCTGCCCACCCTGCCCCTGGGCCACTCCTCGGACGTGCGCCAGGGGGAGTTTGTCGTGGCCATGGGCAGCCCCTTCTCCCTGCAGAACACAATCACCTCCGGCATCGTCAGCTCAGCACAGCGGGGCAGCAAGGAGCTGGGGCTGCCTGGTTACAACATGGAGTACATCCAGACCGATGCTGCCATTAATGTAAGAGGAGTGTGGGTGGGTTGGGGGGGCCTGCGGGCGGGGGTCTGACTGACTGCCTCCCAGTGCCCAGTCAGACTGTAACACCCTTATTGAGGCAACCTGGGGAGGGTCAGGATGTGCTGAGGTCTGCTAGGGCCGTCTGGGGAGAGCCAGGGGCTGCCCGGGCATTGGCTGCGCCTCTGACCCCCGCAGGCCATCGGGAGCCTCTCTCTGTGTCTGTGCCGTGGGCAGTGCTGGTGCTGGCTGGGAGCATTTCCCCCACAGCCTGACTCCCCCTTTCTCTCCTGCTGCAGTATGGGAACTCCGGGGGCCCCCTCGTCAACCTGGTAGGTGCCGCTGCTCGTGCCCCAGCCCGATGTCAGGGGTGTGGTGTCCCCTGCCTATGGGGAGCTGTGCCAGGGCATGGGCAGCCCCCTGCATGCTGTGTGGGAGGAGGGGGTGCAGGGCTGTGCTGCTCTGGGGCTGGGGCAGACACACTTTGATCTGTGTGGTAAAGGGTTTGGTCAGTTCTTCAGTGGGGCCTGGGCTGGCTCACCCCCAGCCCCCAGGCGGTGCCTGGCACGGTGTCCTCTCCTGCAGGACGGCGAAGTGATCGGTGTGAACACGATGAGGGTGACCTCGGGCATCTCCTTCGCCATCCCCTCAGACCGGCTCCGGGACTTCCTGGAGAAGGGGCGGCAGCGCCAGAGTGAGTGTGGGGGGCAGGCTGTGGTGTGCCGGGGGATGGGGACAAAGTGCCAAGGGAGTGGCCACAGCACCTTCAGACCAGCTGAGCGGGATGGGCCGGGCTCTTGCCAGCAGGTTGCCCTGGCGTTGGCCCTGGACAAGACCCGAGGGCCTGGGCTGCTGGGATGAGGGGGAAGTGGAGTCCTGGTCTCTTTGCAGCCCTGACACCCTCTGGTTGTCCCCCACAGGCTCCCAGTTTGGCAGCGAGGCGGTAAAGCACCGCTACATTGGGGTGATGATGCTGACACTGACACCCAGGTACGAGCAGGCTGCTGGGGCTCCAGGGCACTCGGGGCCAGGTGGCCAAGTTCTTACGTGAAAGCCACGTGGAAAGGGAATCCTGCCCTCCCCTCCTCCCAGACTGCAGAGGTTCCTGTCGGAGACCTGGGCCCTGCAGCTAGAGAGATCCTGTGTATTACCTCGGGCCCTCCCACCTCCCTGAACTGGCTGCTCCTGCTTAGCCAAGTGCCATGATGTCAGGTGCCCCTGGGATATGAGCCCCCAATGACTGCCTCTTGTTGCCCGTGAGACCTGCCATGGGGCGGGAGGATGGCGTCCAGTGGCGCCTGCTCGCTCCAGGGCTGGGCTCCAGGCCCCACACAGGGCTCTGCATTTCTGGGTGCAGAGACCTCTCCCCACCAGTGCCTGGGCCCAGGGTGTTGGGTGTGGTGGCCAGGCCCCAGGTCTGTCTCTGGGGTTGAGCAGGACCAGCTCAACAGGAGGGTGTAGGGCCAGAGCCACAGGATGCAGCTGCCCCCCCCCCCCCCAAGCGCCCTCCGGGACCCTGGGCTCGGCATGGGCTGGGCACTGCTTGTGCCAGGGCTTGGGCTCTGCTCCTGCTGGACTTGCCCCAACGGGTGTGTGGCGAAGCCTGTAGGCCCCACGTTGGCGTCAGCACTGCTTGTCCTCTGGGTGTGGGCACCTCATCTGTACCTCCCTTAGTATTCAGGTTCCTCAGGCTGCCGTCTGCAGTGGCTGGAGATGACACCGGCGGGTTGTGCTGGGGAGGAAAGTGGGCAGCCAGCACGGAGCCTCCATGGGTCTTGGGGCTGCAGAGGGGCAGGAGGGTTTGTTGCCCAGCTTGTGTCCGCTGGGGTCAAAGCCGTGGCTCCCTGCGGTCTCCCCCAGCACTCTTCCTCCCTCTGGCAGGCTGGCAGCCGCACCCAGCACCTGGGGAGGAGGGAGCCAGGGCCTCGTGCCTTCCAGTGACGCGGCTCTGACTCTGTCCTCCCTGCAGCATCCTGGCTGAGCTGAAGCGGCATGACCCCAACTTCCCCGATGTTGCCTCTGGCATCCTCATCCACAGGGTCATCGTCGGCTCCCCAGCCCACCAGTAAGCACCGGGGGTGTGAGGGATGTCCACCCTGTAGCCTGGGCTGGGTCTGACCTGTGGGGTGGGGGGGAAAGGGTTGCCAGCCCCAGCCCTGGCTGTGGGGCAGACTTGGTACCTGGTGCCTTGTGGTTACCTCGAAGCTGCCCCCAATCCCAGCGGAGCTGCCCCCTCGGCAGCCTGCGTGTCCTGGGATCATTGGCACGTGTGCACATGTTGGCAGCTTGTTCAGGTGAGGGACCACTTGAAAGCAGCCCTTGTCTGCAGGCAGGGAGCCAGAGTAAGGGGCTCTGGCCATCTTCCCCTGTATCCTCCCATGCTCTGTCTCCACAGGGCGGGAATGAAGGCCGGTGATGTGTTGCTGGAGATCAACAAGCAGGTGGTGCGGTGTGTTGAGGACGTGTATGAGGCGGTGCGCATGCACCAGAGCCTGGACATACTGGTGCGGCGCGGCTTTGACACCCTCCTGGTCCACGTCACGCCCGAGACTGCCGAATAGAGGCCAGCAAAGCACGGCACGGCACAGCACGGGCTGCCCACGGTGGGGACTGGGCACCCCAGGCTCCTCAGCACAGAGTCACCCATCCCTGGGCTGGGACTGGATGGGGGCAGGCAGCACCCCCGCAACGCCTGCTGTACTCAGAGATGGAGAGTGACTTGCAGAGACTGGCAGCCTTGAGGCAGGGTCTGGCTTGTGTGGGGTTGGGCAGGGCCAGCCTGGTGCGGGGCTGGCAGTGGGAGGGAATGGAGGCTGCTCTCAGTCGCCTTCACTGCAATAAACCATTTCCTAGGAGCTGTGTGGGTGCCTGTCCTTCCCCAGGCAGCAGACGGCTGCGGCCCCACTGCAACATTTGTCCTTTGCGGGCTTCGTGCTGGGACATGGTTGGGGCAGTGTTGCCAGCCCGTGTAGCTGCCCAGGGGGTCTCTCCCTTGCCTGCGTGGGCTGGTGCTTGGGGATTGCTGTTTCCCTCCCCTCGGTGCTCTGCCCCCGTCCTGTGCGTGTGAGCCAGGGTGGGTGTTGGCTGCGCTCTGCCCTGGGATTGCGGCCTGCACTGTGCAGGCTCCCCCTGCCCCTACAGGCATCACAGCAGGAGCAGAGCGCCCCCCACACACCCCCTTCCTGGCACCAGGCCCCGGTGGAGGCATTCAGTGCCCTGAACAGAGACCTCTGGCTCCAGCCCCAGCCTTGGCAGGAAAAAGCTGCCTCAAATCACTTCTACTCGCTGCACTTCAGGGCAGGCTTTGCCCCGTGGGCGGGCTGGGGAGAGGACAGGCCTCCCTTGGGCAATGAGTTTTGAGCTGCTCTTGCCTTTAGCATGGGAAGGATCAGCTGCAGCGTCTGGTCCCCGCCCTGCTCTGTCCCCCCTGCAGCCACGAGTCACTCTCCCATGCACGCTGCCCCGGCCCCGGCCCCGCTTCCCTCGGCTGCAGCTGGCGCATGGGGCCCCTGCGGGGCTGCTGGGTCAGAGAAGCTGCTTGCTCCCAGGTCCAGCTCTGGCCTGGCTCCACTGCCAGCAGCTGGGGCAGGGACTTGGGCGCACCGAGCGGCTTGGGTGTGCCCGGTTCTGCCGGCACCAAGGGCTGCTGTGTGCACTGGGGCTGGGGCCAGTGTGATGTTTGCAGGCTGCTGTGACTCAGGGCTCCCCCCGCCCTGGGAAAGCAGCCCAGGGAACAGGCTTGTCCTTTCAGCGCCGGCTTGGCCCCCGCCGTGGAATGTGCTCCGGGGCGGGGGGGGGTGGTCTGCGGCTGCGAGGGGAAATAGCAAAGACGTCGGCGCGTTCCTCTGCACAGCTGCCCTGGCAGGGCTGTGTCTGACCCTCCCAGCTGCAGGAAGCGGGCTTGGTTTGTCCCTCCTTGATGCAACCTCCTCACCCGTGCGGGCCCAAGCTGGACGGGATGGGGGGGCTGCTCCTGCTGGCCCTGGGAGCCTCCCTTGGTGCTTGACTGGTAGGAGAAGGCTTCAGGCTCCAGCTGCCCCCTGCACCAGGACACAGTGCAGGGCTCGGCGCATCATCTGAGCCAGGCCTAGCAGTGCCAGGGGTGGGGCGCACATGGCTGGTGGGGCAGACAGCAGCCAGAACAGGAATGAGCTGCCCACCCATGGGAAACAGTCAATTTTATAGAGAAAATATAATTACATTGAGGAGCTGGGGGCGTGTGGGGCAGCAGGCCCTGGAGGACCGTGTCCATGAGCCGTGGTCGCTGCCACTGCAGAGCGCGTGGAGGTGCCAGCCCTGCCCCGGGGCGCGTGGGGCACCTGCCAGGAGTCCATTGCGGGGACGAGGCGGGTGACGGCTGTATCTGTGCCCCAGCCTGTGTTGCTGTGGCTCCCTGGCCTTGCCTGCTGCCAGTGCTGGGCCCACGGCTCTGTGGCCGGGGGTCCCGGCACGTCCCCTTTGCCCAGTGCTGATGGAGGGAGCCCCAGCCCTGTGGCCAGGCCGGGGGGCAGTGAGGGGCAGCGGTGCACTCGCAGCCCAGCCCCAGGCTGCCGGCTGGTGTTGGCAGGGTCGTCTCTGCTGGCAGGGCCAAGCCGTGGGCGCTACACGACCTGGTTGTTCAGCTGTCCCGGGTACTGCTCGAAGCGCCGGTTGGCCTCCTCACTGAAGGCATCGCCTGGGCAGCACAAGTGGGGTCCAGCTTCAGGGGGGCTGTAACCCTCTGCCCCCAGCCCGCCCTGCCCGCAGCCCCCACACCGGAGGCTCCCAGCCCAGGCACCCACACCCATCCCGTGTTACCGATGTGGCAGTTGTGCACCCAGATGCGATGCCCATCGTATTTGCAGTTGCACTTCATGGCATTGTTGGTGAAGTCACTCTCGGCCACCTCGAAGTTGGGGTTAATCACCACCTGCGGGGAGGGTGCCAGGTCGCCTCATGGTGCTGCATGCATGGCCTAGCCCATCACCTGCAGCTCTGTCACAGTCCCCCCCCCAAAACCCATGTCTGGGTGGGTTTGGACAGAGCTGATCCTGCCTCAAGCAGGGCTTGGAGTAGAAGTGACCCCGCAGCCCCCCGCCAGCCCCGCAGCGCTGGGATTTCTAGGGTCCCCATGACTCCTCTGGGTTTGCCTCCTCCGGGGTAGGGGAGCGGCGAGGGCTATGGGGCAGGCGCCGCACCGTACCTGCAGGATGTAGTTGCCAGGCTTGACGTCGGTGATGTCAATCCACTGGCAGTCGATGTCGTGGCGGTACAGGTCCCAGCAGCCCACCGTGATGCCCTGCTCCCCAAAGTTCGCGCACTCGTACCTCTTGGCCACGTCTGCGGGAAGTGGGGGTGAGTCGCGGCCCTCCCCCTGCCCTGGCTGCCCCCCAGGCCCAGTGTGCAGGGAGTGTGGAGCAGGGGCCGTGGCTGCTCACACCTGGTGGCACCCACCTTCCTCGCACTCGGTGTCCTCCAGGCAGAAGCTGGCCTTGTGGCCCTCGGCCACCTTGGTGCCGTTGGGTGTGAGGATGTCGTAGTGTGTGAAGATGTCCATGCTGTGGTAGTGCCTAGGGACCACAGGGCCAGGTTGCGGGGGGCTCCAGGCTGGTGCGGTGCAGCCCCACACGTGTGGGGGCGTGTGGACGTGTCCCAGAGCCGCGCTGGCCATGGCCCTGCCCCCCACACATGGCTCCCAGAGCATGGCTGGACCCCAGAGCACGTGTGCCACTCGCCAGGGCCCGTGGTGGGATTATCACCCCCCATACCCTGGTACCTGCTGCGGCATCTCCCATGGACCCCGTGGGATGGGGCCAAAGCTGCACCAGGCTCATGGTGTGGGGGTCCTGCCCCTTGGCCCCACCAGCAGCCTGTGGCACCTGGGCAGGAGCCAGCCTGCCACGGGCACCAGGGCCGTGGCCCAAGACCCCCCCCAGTCATGCCCCTCGCTCCCTGGGCCCAGCCCCACCACCCTGCTTGGCTCAGTGCCCCTTCCGCCCCGTGTGTCCCAGCCCCCAGCCCGGCCCCAGGCGTTACCCGTGGCACTCATGCCAGACCCAGGAGTGGCGCCCGGCTTTGGGGCGGAAGTCAGCGCGGCCGTTGTTGTGGATCTGGGAGGAGAAGCGCAGCAGGCGCCGGTGCCCGTAGGGCCAGTTGGCGTGGCGGGCGGAGCTGGCCAGGCAGTTCTCCTCGGCCGCGCAGTACAGCATGTGCAGCGGCCGGTCCTCGATGTAGGCCGTCTCCTGCACCAGTGCCGCGTGCAGCAGCAGGTCCGAGGCCGCTGCAAGGCAGGGGAGGGTCAGTGTGTGGGGTGCAGCCCCCCGCCCACTGCGCACCCTGCCCTCGCTCTCCCCCCAGCCCCCGCTGCTTCAGGACCCCCCGCCCAACGCCCCTGTCCCACACTCACTCTCGGAGCAGATGACACCGGCGGCGAAGCGGGTGCCCGTGTTCCTGCAGTTGACGTGGCCGCTGTGATGCCGGCAGTGGCTCAGTGACATCTCGTGGCCAGCGCACTTGACACCGCTCAGCACCATCTCTGTCACGTTGCTGGCATCCCAGTACCACGTTTCCTGGGGGAACATGTGGCTCAGAGCAGGGCCGGACTGGGCCACGGCCACAGCCATGGCTCTCGGCCCTGGACAGGACATGGCCACAGCAGCACCGGGCCCTATGTGCAGCCTCCTGGTGCAAGCTATGTGCATGTGGTGCAAGACACATCTCCTCCTCCCGTGGCCCCAGAACCAGCCCCGGGGGTCTCTCCTGCTGGTATCAGCCACAGCCGGGACCCCGCTGGCTCCTCGCGCCCACGCCCAGGCCGGCCAGGGCATAAGTGAGCCCCAAGCCCCTGCCCTACTGCCACGGTGACCACGAGGGAGACCCCGCCACCGTGGCCCAGACTCTGTGGCTGCCTGTCACTGAGCTGGCAATGATGCCATGCTCCCCACCGACATCCCGAGTGAGGCCTGTGCCCCCAGCACCGCATCACCTGCCCTACGACAGGGCTCAGGCCCGGACCCTCTGGTCCAGCCCAGCCCCCAGCGGCACCT